GAGGGAACTGTGGAAGAGAGGGAGAGAGAAACCTTATGTTATATGATATGAATTGACCAAATTTGGTCATAATGAAGTTGTACTAAAAATTTTGTATAAACTAGTGGTACTATAGTTTATGTATGGTTCTCATGTGCCAACGATAAGAGTGACACATACACCCACTTCTCTTGTGCTCTGCTCTTTACCATTAGTGACTGGATAAAGTATAAAGGAACTGCTTCAGTGTATTTATTGTAACAATATTTACAAGATGATTGATGTCTCTCAATGGAGAGCAAGTATTGGACTGTGGAACTACTGTCAAGCTGCCTCCAGTAGACCAGCTAGTGGCCACCACTCTCACTCATTCAAGACTGCAGTAGACAGCAAGTCGGGCAGTACTACATCAGGAGAGAAGACACCTAAACTGCTAACAGCTTTGTCTCTTATTGTTTTCCTCCTGCTTTTTCACTGTCTCTCTTTATTAAGACACATATTAGTTATTCCTCCAACAGGTAAACAACAATTGCGACTTTGTATTTGTATATTTACTGGTATTTTATTATTAGGTAACTGCTACCAAGTACAATGTACTACTGGTGTTACTGTTACTGATACGAATTACCTCCAGTCAGTAGTCTTACCTGGAGGCAGCAGTTCTAACCTGATTTACAATGATTTCTATTTGATTGTTTGTCTACGCATGCTCCTCCTCTTATCAGGAGATGTTGAACTCAATCCTGGTCCTATGATTGATGATGAACCTGATATTTTCCTATTACTTCAATGGCTTGAACCACTTGTTGACTGGAAGCCATTTGGTCTTCACTTACCTGGAATAACACAACACGAAATTTCAGTAATAGAGCAAGTGGATGCTAAACATCAAAAACTAGCTTTATTTACAAAATGGTTGAATACACATCCTACAGCAACATGGAGAGATGTGCTCAATGCATTGACTCAAAGAGAAGAGACCAATTTATTTCAAACAATTAATGATCAGTTACAAGTACATCAATGTACAGGAGGTATGATCATGTATTTATTATTAATAATTATAATATAAAAATAGGCATCGGTAATGTTCCTACTAGTACCGTACCAGTAGTATCTACTGTGTCATCATCAGTTTCTGATAAACCTGTTACTAGTACATCAGGTAAATGTATGCTTAACACTGACAACACTCATTAACTGATACACTATACTGCAGGTAGATCTATCACTCCTAGTGCTATATTGAGGATGAATTATGCTACTCTTGTTAATGCTATTACTAGTAATCTTTACATAGTAACTGATACACTGTATGCCAAAGGACTAATGCCAATGGAAACTGTTAATCATATTCAGACAGCAGCTTCTTCTGATGTTGTTAAGTCTGGAAAATTAATGTCTGTGATACAACAACAGTTGGAATCCTCTCTTAATCCAGAGCAGTATCTAACTGAAATGTGTTGTACGTTAATAAACCAACAGCATCATACACTAACAGATATTGCTACCTCTATATTACACCAGTTAGGTGAGTGTGTGTGTGTGTGTACATTATCAGTGATCAATATAGCTATTATATCTCAATACATTAGGTCAGTCTATACCTGATATTCTCACATCCATTAGTTCAATACCTGATGATGTTCAAGGATATGCTGACAATATGAGACAACACTACAAACACCAACCTATTGTTGCTACAGACTGGCCACCAAGAATTGGGAAGAATTACTTTGGAAGACTAGCACTAATAGAGAAACAAGACTCCAGCACACAAGTAGAATCAGCTTGGCATCTTCTAAGAGGGCAAGTTGATGAAACAGTTAAACTAACTGAAAATATAGAGATAAGTGTTGAAGATGTTCTCCAATTACCCACAGATAGTTCTCTGTCTCTCAGAGTAGTAATAGATGGTCCTCCTGGTATTGGCAAGACAACACTTTGTCGTAAACTGTTAAATATGTGGTCTAATGGACCACTTCCACACCAACAGTATGACTTAGTACTTTACTGTCCTTTAAGGAATGGCAAGATAGCTACAGCTATTACACTAGCTGACCTATTTGTGCGTCAACGTTCTAAAGTTCCCATTGTAGCTGAATGGTTTGAGAAGAGAAATGGAGAAGGATTACTAATAATTTTTGATGGTTGGGATGAACTAAGTGAACATCTCAGACAGTCTTCATTAGCTGCTAGTATCATTTGTAAAGATGAGTTAGACCTATGTTCAGTAATTGTTACCTCTCGTAGCTATGCCTCCTCTTCACTTTTAGAGATCATGTCTAATCTCAGTAGACATGTTCAGGTCATTGGGTTTTCTGAGAAAGAAATATCAACAGTAATTATACAAACACTTCAAAAAGATACAAAACTAGCACAAAAACTCATTCATGAAAATAGA